GGAGCAGGGAGCCCGATGCGGGGCTCGATCCCAGGACCCTGGGATCATGACCTGAGCTGAAGGCAGACGCTTAATGACTGAGCCATCCAGGCGCCCCACCATCTATTTTTATAAATAAAGTTAATTGGAACACAGCCATATTCATTCTTTTACATATTGTCTTTAGTTGCTTTCTTGCTACAATGGCAGGGTTGTGTAATTTCAACAGAGACTATATGGTTTGTAAAATACTTATTATGTGGCCCTTTATAGAAAAAGTTTGCTGACTCCTGGTCTAGTGGGTCAGGGAGGGCTTCCCTGGGGAGCTGGTGCCGAAAGTAGGATTTAAGATGCGTGAGCATTAGGTATGCTAAGGAATCTAGGGAGAGAGCGTCTGGGCAGAGTAAATAGCCAGGTCACGATCCTGGAGTGGATAGGAGCATGTGCTCTCTAAAGCACTGACAGATACCACTGTCGTACCTGGAGTGCAGTGAGCTTCACCAGCTGAAGCTAGGGAGTACGGGGATGTACCAGACAGGGCCATAGAGACCATATTCATCCTCAGAGTAGTGGGATCCAATTGAAGGGATGCAATCGAGGGGCAGCGGAAGCAGGGCATAGAGATGATCAGATGGCCAGAGGTGCATTTGCAAGTGAGTGTAGAGTGTAACGTGGAGAGTGCACTGACAGAGGTGTGTATGGACGTCAGGAAACTGGTTAGCAGGCTCTTGCAGTTGCCCAATGGGCTCTGTTGGTGACTTGGATGAGAGTGGTGCCAGTGGGAATAGAGAGAATGCAACAGATTCCAGGAATGTTTAGAAGGTAGAATGTATAGAACGAAGTGGGAGGGGGAGTGACAAGAGTCCTGCCATGTAGGTGAGCACATATGGCAGAAGAACAGGTGTACATGGGCAGGTAGAGGGGGGATAATTGAATTAGAGATGTGGGGATTGAGCAGTTTCAGTTCCAGGCATGTTGTTGAGAGTGGTTGGTTCAGGTGGAGGGAGAAGGACTTTGGAGATGAGGATGTCTAAGAATTGAGACACTAGAGTGTTGGGTAGGCCATCTATGTGGCTCTTCGGATTACCCAGGACAGGGGTTGTGAGGAGGAAGATTGAGGCAGGTACTAGAGTAAGGAGCCATCCTGTAGGGCACTAAGGGCAGATGCCCTGAGGGACTTACATTCCAAGTAGTAGTAGGCACAGTGACTTTTGACCCTACAGCCTCTTGGAAGACTGTAGACATCTGGCCCAACAATCCAGCTACAGTCCGATATAGGGTGTTGTGAGGTAGGCACGTGTTGCTTTTCCCCCCTGTAGTCACCAAGGGTTGGGTGTGGCAGGCAACTGTTAGCAAGGAAGAGCCTTGAGCTTTGGCAGGACAGGCCCTGTGGATCTTAACTCAGTGGTCTAGGTGGAGCAAGATCAGCTTAGAACTAGATATCATCTTGTGTGGCTTTCTGCCTATGTTCTTTTTTTTTTTTTAGAAAGTTATTTTTTTATTATGTTAATCACCATACATTACATCATTAGTTTTTGATGTAGTGTTCCATGATTCATTGTTTGTGTATAACACCCAGTGCTCCATGCAGTACGTGCCCTCTTTAATACCCATCACCAGACTAACCCATCCTCCCACCCCCCTCCCCTCTAGAACCCTCAGTTTGTTTTTCAGAGTCCATCATCTCTCATGGTTCATTCTGCCTATGTTCTTAACCAGATATTGTTTGCTTTTTACTTTTTAAAACATTTATGGAAAATTTAAACATCCAGGTGTTTAAAGTTTTTGTTCACTTTGCAATGTAATTTCAGACACAGAACAGCCTCATCGCTAAGTACTATAGGACTCTGAAGCCTCATTTGAGGTCTCTTTGGCCAGGTGGCTAATGAGTGGTTCTAGGTAGACCACACTGCGTGCATCAGGCTCTCAGGTCTGACGGGTAGTCTCTACACTAGAGCAGGAGGCCCTCGGGGTAGAAGTTGAATAACAGGACTCTTCAGGGTTGAAGGTTCTGGGAAATCCCAGAGAGGTAAGTATAGTCTTATCGAGGCTTTAACAAAGTAGGTCCCATGGATTGCTCTGGGTTTTTTCTCTCATTGCTCACTGAAAGAGAGATAATATACAGAAGGCTCATTCCACAGACAAAAGTTGAAATACTACCTGAGTTTGCAGTTTGTGTGAATTAGCTTAATATCCTAAAATCACAACTTAGCTTTTTGTTTTGTTTTTTTTGTAAACAAGCTCATCTCCAGCTTAGGGTTTGTGCATATTCTTCCATTGGTTTTCACTTTGGGTTTGGCCTTTCTCGTTCCAGCTCTATTACCAGGTTTTAAACTTTGCCATGATCGTGTCTTCTGCGCTTATGATCTGGAAAGGCTTGATCGTCCTCACTGGCAGCGAGAGCCCGATCGTGGTGGTGCTGAGGTAGGTTCCGCACGCTGTCTCGCTGCTGTCACGCTCCTGCCCGAGACAGAGGAGCAGTGTTGCCTGAGCGAAAGCCTGCGTGACAGCCAACGCTCAGTGTTTTCACTGGGTAGACTATTAGTTTTCTTTGTTGATACCTGTTTTCATTTCGTTCTGGCCTTTGTTGAAACATCTTACCTTTTTCAGCACGCACTTCAGAGCTTTTATCGTGGGGATGCTAAAGCCCCAGTACTATATATTTGCTTTTGCATTTTAATGCTTTAATGCACCTAAAATAACAATCCTATGTGATTATTTGTGTACAAATTGATTTTAAACATAAGTAATTTAAAACTGTGATTTGGTTTTCTTTGTACCAGACAGGGAAGCGTATCTCCCCAGTGCCCAGCAGAGTGTGCTGTGTTGTTTCAAGCGTCTTCGACAACACTGTTGTACGGGGCTACTCTCTTCCTGAGACTGTTATTCTTCTAAAGCACAGGATGTTAATTTGAGAAAAGTTAATACTTTAGTTAACTTCATAAGGCCATAAAGTCATGCAAGGGGGGAAACGTAATCAGTTTGAAATCAAAGAAACATGTTAGGGAGCCCTTAGGTGCTTCAAGATGCTCTCTGTCCAGTGTGGCCTAGACCATCGAGCCTTGCGGGGTGGGGGGGAGAGGGGCGGGGGTGATGGAGCCCGTGTGCTTTACAGGGGGAGCAGTAGGCTATAGCAGTGACCGGGCAGGGTCACCTTTGGCCCGTGGAGGAGCCAAGGTCAGCACGCAGGGTTCGTGCCTCCCAAACCAGTGCCCTTGCCCTCCACTGGGCCTTGTTGCCATATCATGGGGCTTCAGTCGTGGCCCTGGCTTCACCAGGTTGCCCTGGTGTGGCTGGCCAAGGGGCCTTTCTAGAGAGACACTGCTTTCATAAATTTAGGAGCCTTAGAAGAGCACACGGGTTTCTGATTCACTGGCGTTCACACTGTGCCCTAGGAGTGCCCTGGGGTCCAGTGGATAGGTTAGGAGGGAGAAAGGGAGCAAATACATGGATTCTAGAGACCTCAGCCTTGTTTCAGTTGTAACAGCTCCATTTTTTATGTATTGTATATGGGTATGCAGCCTGGTAAGATTTCATTCAAAAGAAGGATTTTAAGCTTTTTTTTTTCATTAGAAATTAAAAACCTCTGGGGCACCTGGGTGGCTCATTCAGCTAAGCGGCTGTCTGCCTTCGGCTCAGGTCATGATCTCAGGGTCCTGGGATCGAGTCCCGCATCGGGCTCCCTGTTCAGTGGGGAGTCTGCTTCTCCCTGTGCCCCTCACCCCGCTTGTGTGCTCCCCTCTCAAATAAATAAATAAAATCTTAAAAAAAAAAAAAAGAAATTAAAAACCTCTAATTTAGATGGGCCCTCCTACTTAACAGATAAAGAGCCTGAGGCCCATGAAGGCCAAGCCACTTGCATCTTACAGTTACTTTTGACAAAGCCCAAACTAGATCCCAGATGTTCTGGTTTTCCTTAAATCACACAGACACACTTGTACACAGAAACTGTTGTAACATTGCGGTCTGTAGGGACTTCTTTTTTTTAAAGCACCCTTTATAGTTCTAAATTTGGTTTGTCAACATAAACTATTGACATCGTGAGAGATGTGTGACCTTGGGGAACACTGACCTTTGGGAAATCCCTGGACTGTGAGGAAAGCAAGTGTAAGTTGATATTAGTGAAACATTCCAAAGAAGTGCATTCCTCATGAGACATGATAATGAGTCTTTTTCTTTTTTTTCTTTTATTTATTTATTTATTTATTAAGATTTTATTTATTT